CTCCCCCCCCCCCCCCCCCCCCCCCCCCCCTATTTCCAGTAGCTAATTGGGCGAGGCCGTATTACCAATAAGTAGAATAAAGTGATGATAACAAGAGATAGCTCTGACAGTTGATAAACATGTTTGATATTTTGATACATTTTACGTGAACAACCAGAATATTAGGTCAAAGATAAACTAATAAAATTTCACACACAAAAATTTGAGGGTATGAAAAAATAGACCCAATTTACTCAGTTTTATGCTTCTAGTTTTTCTGGACACAAATATGAATCGAATTTCGGACCTCCCTCTGTCACCCTCAAATCGATTTAAGCCAAAAAAGAGAAAATATAATTTGCATGCAAACAGAGTCAAAATTCTGAGAACAGATCCCAAATTCTTAAATAGGATTCACTGAGTGAACATGGAATAATCGTTTAAAAAGTCTTTTCTTATTATTCCAGTCCAGACGGAATCCTCCAGAAAGTCTGATAAGCTTCTAAAAATGATCTGTCTTTTCTTTACGATTGTTCATAGTTCGATCTGTCCAGTTAAATCATGGATTCATCGATTTCAAATTACCCTAGGCCTGTACATTTTGGAGAATAAAACCCTCCCTTCCCCGAAATCTAAATACATTTGTTATATTTTTTAGGATTTGGTGCCATATTCACCTACATGTCCTGTCTTACGACCAGTATGAACAACGTTCCAGCTCGACACCGCGGTAAGATCGTCGGTCTTCTCGACTCCGCATTCAGTGCGGGTCCGGCTCTAGTCGCACTTATCTACGGCGTCGTTTTCGTAAACGGACACGTACATGACGAGGAGAATCAAAACTTACAAGGATTCTATTTATTTTCCGCTATTACGTTTGGTGTTGTTAATGTATTAGGAGTGATTATTTTAGATGTATATATGCTCGAGGAACCGACAGTCAAACAATTAAAGATTCAAGATAGTCAAGATACAAGCGTCACTAAGAATGAGCCAGAAAATTCGGAACTAGAAGAAAGTATTCATAACGATAGAAAAGATATTCGTGGATTAAAAATGTTGAAAATGTTTGATTTTCACTTTCTACTGTGGCCGTATATTATGTGTGCCAGTCTACAGTTGATGTATATAAATAATATTACGACATATTTAAAATCTTTTCATCACGAGGACAAAAGTACATTATTTACAGTTTTAAATCCAATTTCAGCCACTTTTTCAAAATTACTGATCGGTTTTATATCTGATGCTTTGATTGACAAGATACCTCGAGCAGGAGTCATTCTATTTACTACGTGCTTACAAACTGTTGTTTTAGCCGTCTGTGTTTTTTACGGTGATTTGTATCCAGTAATTTTATTGGCTCTGTTCGGAGTCGGAATTCCTAATGGCGCCACCTGGTGTTTGACTCCTACTATGACCAGCGAATTTTTCGGGATGAAATATTTCGGCTTAAATTGGGGTTTTATGATGGTGGGTACTGCGTTTGGTGGATTGATAATCCAAAAGATTTTCGGAGCTTTATACGAGCTTGAAATAGGTGATCCGACCGTTACGGACTGTTACGGGTTGAAATGTTTCCGATGGAGCTATGCCATAGCCGCCGTATGGAGTCTATGCTCCTCTATATTTTATTTAGGACTTCTAGAAAGACGTCTGGCGTTTAGGAAGATGAAAAAACAAACACAAGATGAAGCTAGGAAAAGAAAAGAGTCGGTAGCTTGGAAACACAGTATTTCTATGTAGAAACTTTTACTGTTAATATAGCATAGTCCCTACATGTAGCATATGATATTTCTATTCTATGTAGGTAGTGTTTTATTATATTTACATATATCACGTGATATTTCCATGTATTGTTGTTATGTTTTATAATATTTTTCCTCACCCGAGCCCACCTTGATCGCTATGGACGCCTGTTTCCTCGATAGCATTTCAGGGTAATTGTCCTCTTTGGGAATTGTCTATCTTTTTAGGCCTACCGAGGCAAACTGTTTAAACCTAGATTTGATCTCGTAAGTTTTACATGTGGCTGTGATCTAAGATCCAAAAAGCGGCTGGAGATGTTTGGGACCCTGGGCAGGATCAGCAATCTTCTAACAGAAAACAATCCTCTTTGATTAACTAATGAGACCCAGAGCCGTATATAGAGAGAGTCTGGCCAATTTGCGATCTCGCAGCGCTGAACCTGAACCATGAACACGTGATGGAAGGCCGCCATATTGTTACCCTTCCCGTGACGTTTAGGCGTAGGAGCCAAGGTATTCTTTACGTTGTTTAAACCTAATTCCTGGTCTTGTCTGGCAACTGAATGCCTCGATGTGTGGCATAGAAATGCTCTGTCAAATCTGGAGAAGGTATATTGATGCACAGGTTCCCTAAGGATAAAAGGAGACGCAGAGAATGGGAAGTAAAGGTCAAACTCTTTTCTATGCGATGTAAGTACATTCGATGATTTCAGGGGTTTTGCAAACCGTGTTATGTTCAGATCTAAAAACAGGATATAATAGATATAGAAATTTTGTGAGAGGGTTTCTTTCCGGACAAAACTGCGCAATGAACAGATGCAAAAAGAAAAGCCATCAAAGAAAAGAACAGCTTTCAAAGAAAATTAAAGAAGGTCTTCAATGCTGATCAGTTGGTCAAGATGGCAAAACAATCAACAAGAGGATGCAAATGGTCTGATGATACGTACAAAAAGGCACTTCGCCTGTGGAACTATGGGATATGAGGAATTAATCAAGCAAGGTCAGCCAATACCATCTTTGCGATCCCTACGAAGAAAGATGGAGTGTATTTCAATGGAGCCTGGAATTCTTGACGAAACATTCGAACTTTTGCGGTTGAAAATTCAGTCAATGCAGGAGAAGGAACGGGAATGCTGCCTAACGTTGGATGAAATTGCATTGAAGGCCGGATACCAGTTTGACAAAAGTGGCAGTTGTTTCCTCGGGGATGTGACTCTGCCAAATCACAGTGGTACAGCAACACATGCACTAGTTTTTATGTTAGCCGGTATTTCTTCTAGATGGAAGCAGACCATCATTTAATACTGTTGATGGCAATGCATTGAAACCAATTGTAATACAGATACTTAAGAAGGCACACGCTATTGGTTTACATGTCAGCACTGTGACCTGTGATATGGGATCATCCAACAGGACCATGATGAGCAGCTTTGCGATTGCGTGTGGGAAGTATGCTCAAACAGTAAACAGCATTGAACACCCGGTGACCGGTGATAGAAAATTATACTTCATGCATGATGTTCCTCATCAACGTTAAAGCAGCACTGGTAAATAATCAAGAGTTTCACCTCAATGCAGAAACAGTTAAAAAACATGATCTACCTTCATCAACTGTGAGTTTGTCTGCCTTAAAAAGTCTCATAGACTTTCAAGATAAAGATGATTTAAAATTAGCCGCGAATCTGACAAGTGAAAAGATCAATGATTCCCATTTCCAGAAAATGAAGGTTTCGGCCGCCATGAACTTTTTTAGTAAATCTGTTAGTGCTGGACTCCGATATTTAGTCGAACATGAAGCTTTATGTAACAACAATCATTAGTTATAGTTTATGCACCGTTTTGACAGTCTCCAACTGTCGTCAGGCACATGGGCCTATTGATCAAAAACAATATGAATTATATTATACATTATATTGCTTATCAATATGTTGCATAAACTATAACTAGTGATTAGCCTATTGTTCCATAAAGCTGTAGAATATACAGCTAGGCCCTATATTAATATGGAAGATTACAGGTTTAATATTCGGGGGTTAATATTTGGAAAGTGCTAAAATTCAAAAATTATCTTCTTTTTGTGTTTTTTGTATAGACAAACCAAATTTTATCAAAATCGGTTAAAGACTGTAAATTCTACAACGTTCGGCCGTCTTGTAGCTAAGAGAGGATAACAAGATGGCGCCTTGTGACGTAGTTGGCCAGACTCTCTCTATATACGGCTCTGATGAGACCGTAAGAAATCAAATGTCTGAAAAGTTACGTCCCTTCTTTTCTCTAGTAATCTCCCCTTTCAAGAACTCTCACATTTCTCTAACGTACTGTACGACGACGTCAGAACAGCTTTATACATAATCTACCTAGCTACTTCCACTCTCGGTTGAATGGAGGGCGAGGTAGACTGTGGCACTCCCCTAAATTCATACCCCCACCCACCCACTCTCAGTCATTGAGACAAAACATTCGTTTTTTTTTCATGTCGCATTACAAAAAAAGATGGAGGAGAGGCGGTGATTTTTAGCAGACACTCTGACTTGAGCTTTACGTCGGAACCGACATACTGATAGAATATCTAATATCAGATTATTTAGCTAAAATTCAATCCGAACAGAACCTACACAAATGGCATCTAAAACTTTCATAAAATAAAAAGAGTAGAGATTAGAAAACAAAATGTTTTGTTTACGTTAGACTATTCGGACTAATATTTCGTTTCGTTAAAAACAAAAATCCATCATTTTAATCAGTAGGCGTCGTTACCAACAAAAAATGGCGGATGTAAACAAATGAAAGACCAGCAAGTGTCTGTTAATTTCTAGGGTTTTGGTTCTAAAAATACAAGAAATTGTAAGTAAACTTGTTAGTGCCTCTGATATAATTTGTTTCTTTACTTCCTTCAAAGTCGGCTGTTCAATTCCTTGTTGACTACAGACCGAAATCAAGATAAAGCAAATATGAATACCGGTATCAGATTATGCCTAAGTCATTATATTTCATGAATACACATGCAAATCCAATTTATTTTGTTTGTTGTACAGAATATTCTAAAGTGGAATTCAAATTGATTGGTTGCAGTGAAAATAAAATCATGACATGACGTAGCGGTAGGTTAAAAAAGACTAGGCTAATTACGAAAAAAAAAAATAAAAAATGAAATCAATGTTGTTAGCCCAGAGACAAAAAAAGGCAAGCTCTTAGATTTTGAAACTTTGATTACATTGTAATATTTTGTGTGTATAACATTAAGCTAGAAATCTTATTACTAATTTTATTGATTTTAAAACAGAATGAATTGATTCTAGAAAGTGAAAGTTTATATTTTAAAATAGGTTAAATATTGGTTTATTATTGTAGTTTAATGACTATTTGATAAACACTTTAAAATTCAGATGTTTAATAAAACAATAATAAACTTCTATCATTATTATAGAGTTAGAGTTGTCTAAATATTTACTCTACCAGCCATTAAAACAATCAATTTCTAATATCTGTTACACTTTTTAGATATATAGTTTTCTTATAATTTGACAAAACGTTTGTAGTGGATCTCTTTAAACTATTTTCATTTCATTTATCAACATTCCAACAATCTAATTAGCATAATTAATAATTACTAATGAGCCAACCTGATGAGAGGCAGGAAATTATGAGTGAAATTCTTAACATACAAAATTATAGTGATTTATAATATATAATGTCTGTTTCCTTGCAGGTGTATCTGTCATGTATTTTAAAAGTATATTTTTAATATAAAGTGTATCTAGTCACTCTGATCAAAGATTTAAAATTTTAAATACTTTTTAAAAATTATAATTACATCAATTTCACGTCTTCATTAGAACAGAGCCCAACATTAGACCACATGGTGCTAAAAAGTAGAACGTAAAACTCTATTCATTTAAATTATTCAATTTAATGATAATTATGATAATTTCAGTGATCTATAAGAGAAGACAATTAATTGATTAAGGAAATGGAAGAGTTAACGAAACCAGTTAATGAAGACATTTTACAACCCAATATAACTACAGATAACATAGAGTTGATTGGTATTAATAATTTAAAAGGTTTAATTAATAAGCCTGTTAACGAAGGTGTTCCTATGTTTACCAATGATAATGATGAATTGAATGAGATCAGAGACTATGATGATGATGATGATGATGATGATGAACTCGGTTTTGATTTTGAGGAAGAAGAAGAAGATTCTATAATCAGGTAAAATTATTAAATCCAGCAGCACATTGCACGACATGACATTTGAGTAATGAAGATCTGCTATTAGATTTAAGTTTGGTTTCATCTCCTCTGCTAAAGGTGCATTTGCTTGTATTGTAAATTTGGTAATAAATTAATATTTCAGTGAACCAGTGTATCCTATAACAGAAGAAGAAAAAATCACCTGGCACGAACAAATACGAATGATTCATCTGAGAAGTCATATTAATGAACTGGATGAGAAAGTCAAAAGTTGTACGTATGAAACAGAAAAAACTAGGTATGTTGGTTATATTTTTATTGGTTTATTAGGTAACAATTTAAGACAAACTAAGAGAAGGTAGATAAGTTATAATTAATGATATTATTTATATTTCTAGAGAAGAATTAAAACAATGTAGAAATCAGATTAATTTAATAGAAAGAAAACGAGATGAAACATTTATTCAGATTGAAACAGCAGAAACAGATGATAATATGTAAGTTGAAGATTACAACAATTTTATATTTTATCACTAGGGTATATCTAGGGTATATCTAGGGTGTATCTAGGGTATATCTAGGGTGTATCTAGGGTGTATCTAAGGTATGTCTAGGGTATATCTAGGGTATGTCTAAGGTATATCTAGGGTGTAGCTAGGGTATGTCTAAGGTATATCTAGGGTGTAGCTAGGGTATGTCTATCTAGGGTCTAGGGTATATCTAGGAACAAAATAACATCAACCTTTCTATGAGATATATTCTAATTTCACCTTAACTCAATCAACAAGAATCTTACACACTGAATTCAAGGATAAATCTGACAGTTGTTTTCTTGTAAAAAAGGGGATTAAAGGGGATTAAAGTGTTAAAGAAAGTTTTTTACTTTGCAGTTTAACAAGATAATATATCTATATTTCAGAGCTGCTGTATATCGTTTAAAATCAGCCCATGATAAATTAGTAAAAGAATTAGAATCAGAAGAAGAACTGGAAGAGAAAATAGCAGCTAGACTGGAAGAAACAGAGTAAGCACAGATCTTTTTTTAAAAACAAACAGAATTATACCATGATACTTCAGTATCAAACTTTCGAAAAATCTACCGTAACTACTGTTCTGAATTTTATCAGAGACGAAGTAAAGGGTGCCCTAGTTCCTGGGATTGTACTACACCAATAAACTACAAGCTTCCAATCTTCAATATTTATTTTCAAATATGGATTTTCGTATTGCAGAACTTAGTAATATTAGTAGTTTGATATAGTCAACTGAAAATATAAATGAAAATCTTCATTAACAATTGAGTTTAGGCTTAGGCCTAGGTTTACTATATTAGCAAATCTACTCACTCTAATAGTGGGAACTTTGAATGGGCTAATAATTGGTTGGTCGCCTTATTTTAAAGGTTTATCGGAATCATGCACGTTTGTTCACGCACACCATTGCAACTTTTTTATGTTTCCGGAATTCCATGTTTTAGAATGAATTGATTGGCTAAATCTTACACTGTCACTATTTATAACTAATGACGTAAACATGACGTAATATAATAAAGATACTGGGAAACACCGACTTTCTGTCAGTTACGAAACAATAAGCTAATATATTCATAGGATTACATTAATAAATTTCTAAAATGATAAGCAATTCCAAATGTATAGTGCGTGATGTCATGCTTGTAAATATTATCACTTGCGCTTCCTGTAATGTTTTCCTTCCTAATTTTATAAACACTGGACCAAACATATCGTGTTGTAAAAGGCTGGGAATCCAGCAGCTACTCTGAGTTCTGGGATTTGACCCATTAACTTTTCCACTGGCTTTTTCCTTAATTTTCTGCAAGGAATACAATTTTTTGATAACGACTTAGCAGTTCCTTAAACCTAATATCCAAAATTGTTTTTTGACTTCTGCGATTAACCTCTCATATCCACGTTTTCCGTGCAAGTGTTCTAGGATTACATTCACAAATTGATGATTTTTCAGTAATATTGGATTTCTTTGATCTTAAGGCAGAGTTCAAACTTGTTCCAATCTTCCATGGGCTGGAATAATTCCTTGAATATCAGTTGATTTAGGTAAATCACATTGTGTCTATTTGAATAACACATTTTGAGAATGGTGTAATTCAGACACGGTAAAAGGTCCTTTCTCGAAATTTCTCTTCTCGATATTCTTTGCAAATCTAATTAAATGACACATATATCTACGAAGTTTTATGAAACTAGATGTTTTATCTAAAAGTTTACTTAACATGTTATTTTCATTTACTGGATCATTTTGGACAGCAGTTTGAGTTGATGTAACATTATTTCTTGCGACTTTATCCAGCTTTTTGGGTGGCTTATACTCAATTGAAACTTGAGTTGTTTCTTCTGTTTGACACTGTATTTTAATCTCGAAATTTGGCCATTCCGATTCGGGTAACTAAAGAAAACTTGGACCATCCAGCCACTCGGAGAGTTGATTGACTGATATTCCACGAGTTAAAGCGTCAGCCTGATTGCACTCAGACATTACGTATCTAAAGAGTTTGACATCGATTGACTCCTGGATTTCTGCGACTCTTGCAGAAACAAAGGGACGGAAAGTTTGCGGTGGTGATTTAATCCATTTTAAAACGGTTGCAGAGTCACACCAAAGATATACTGGAAAGTTTTTAGCGTCAACAAATATCAATGACCGTAGAAGAGATTCATACATTCTGGTCAACAATAAAAAACCTAACATTTCCAGTCTTGGTATGGATTTTTTCTTCAACAGTTCTTTTGCTGCTTCTGGGTAAGTTGACAAAGACATATTGACTAAAATATGAATGGCATTTGATGCAATAGATAGTGCTGGCTTGTCACCGAAACTTAGCCGTATCCATTGGTATATAGAAGGTTGATGGCTTGGATTAAATCTCCATAGAAATCTATGATACTTCTGATCTTCAGGGTGAACTAAATTCTGGTTAAACATTTCTTGAATGTCTCCACAATAAGCAACATTATCCCATCTCCAAGCTATTAAAACTTCTAGTAAGTTATTTATTACATTAGGTCCCTTTTCCAGCCTGTCGTTTAAAGACAGTCCATCACATCCTTTAGCGCTGAAATCAAACACAAGTCGTATCTCAGTTGTTTTACCTGGGGTGAATACTACTTGCATAGGAAGATAAAATTCCGGTTTAGCGTGATCTACATCGCTTGGATTGAGTTTAACAAATCCAAAATCCACTAATTTGTTTACTTCGACATCCACGATATTCAATTTATTTCTTTTGATTAGAGATTTTTCACTAGATATCATCCGTTTGTACACTAGATCATAATTACTGGTTTGAGGTGGACCAATACTTTTCCAGGGCATTTTGATTTCAATTCTTCCGTCAATCAATTTTGTTGATTTGTTCAAATGTTTGATGAAATGGTTTTCTTTAAGCAAGTCTTTGCTACACACACAGTATTGAGTTGGCTTAATACCCAACTGGTCCTGGTACTGTTTTATGTCGTTGTCTGTTTTGACTTGCGTAAAGTCTTCAATAATTGCAGATTTCACAAAATTACATGATTTGAATTCAGTTTTACCGTCAATAGTGCCTAACAAGTACCAACCGAAAATTTTTGTCTTCGCAATTGGTTGTCCACTTTTCTCCAACTTTCATCGCAAGATCTATAAAACACATCGGAGAATTCAGTGCCTATAAGAATGTCAATTTTACCTCCATCTTGATACAGTTTATCAATTAATGGTTTTTTAAAAGTGACTAAATTTTTCTAACGATTTTACAGAAACCTTCTTTGGATCACTGCAAGGCTGTTGCACCACGAACACTTTGAAACTTTTCTCGATTAACGGATCATCGATAGGTGATACTGTAATAGGAAACGTTTCTGAAAGTTCTATTTTCCGTTCTCCCCAGCAAGGAGCATATTCAAAGTAATTTCCTCGCCGTGTAGTCCGAGCCTCTGTGCAAAATCTTTTCGAATTAAACAAACATCTGATCCAGAATCTTCAAACACCAATGCCTCCCTTTCATCACCATTTACATCGTTGACGTTGATAAGCTGTACAGGACATTGGGCTGACACAAAGCTGACATTTTTATTCACAGACAAAGACTGATTGTTACTATTTAATCTTGATGAATTTGTACCCGAAAAGGGCTTAGCATCGGAATTCAAATAAGATTTATCACAGGCAATTATACTTTCACATTTATCTGTATGATGACCTTTGAAGCACTTTCGGCATCTCCGTTCTTTTCGAACTGTTTTCCATCGCTCAGGAATTCCTTTTGTTTTAAATTTTGGACAATTTAATAAGTTGTGTTTTTCTGAGCATTCTAATGGACAGTAGTTTTCGGCCTCATTTGTCTTTAAAGTAGCAGTGGAAGAATGTTTATAAGAATTGGGTTTATTGGAATATTTATTAAAATAAGTATTAGTGTTATTACTCTTTGTAAAATAGTTTGTATCTACACGAATAGTAGCCATGAAATCAAGCCAGTCAGCCAGAGTTTCTGATGTCTCTTCTTGGCCTTTTAGATTCACATGACACCTAAAACTTTCAAGTGTTTCTCTATCCTTCTTTCGCCGAAGTTTATCCAAAATTACCTCACACGTTGTTTCCTGTGCTTTATCGATGTCTTCAAATTGTTGTATCAATTCACGAATAATGGAAGAAAACTCTGATAATGATTCTGAATTGTTCGATTTGAGACGGAACTTATCCAGGTTATTGTAAATTTCAGCTATTAATTTTTGATTATTTACGAATTCTCTGTCTAAGAGTGCCCATGCTCTACTGATGTCTGAACATGTTTCTATTTTTCGCCTCCATCTATTTCCTGGATCTTTTATGGCACTACGTAATCTTAATAACTGTTTAGAATCGTCTTGGTTATTTTGTATCATGGCCTCTAAATAATGCTTCTTAAACGTGGCATAAGTCATTCTTCTACCATCCCATGTTGGACAGGGTAACCTTTCTAATTCAGACCTTGGTGGATGTTTTGGGGTTAAATCTTTGACGGCTTCTGTAGCTGCAGCAGCAGCTGTTACTCCAGCAGTCCTCTTGATTTCCTGCATTTTAATTACCATGCTTTGGTCATCTGGAATGTGGGCTCCTTGAAAGGACTTTAGGGCATGATTATATCTCTCAGACATTTGTGTTAAGTAGCACGGAATTTATCACGATTTGTTTTCAGTTTATGTAATTCAGCTTCATTTTCTGTGTCAGTGTGGCTTATTACCACCTGAGAGTATTTATTACAAAGATTTTAAACACCTTATTTTCTTCTGGAATATCTTCATATACTTGAGTAAGATCTGCGATCAAAGAGTCTCTTTGCAACAGAGCATCAAAATCTTCTAATAGGTCTTGTAACCGTACTGATGAAGCATGATAATGGCTTTCATTTCGTCGTTTATCGGAATCTTCATGTTTGTTCACGCACACCATTGCAACTTTTTTATGTTTCTGGAATTCCTCAAGTCACATGTTTTAGAATGAATTGATTGGCTAAATCTTACACTGTCCCTATTTATAACTAATGACGTAAACATGACGTAATATAATAAAGATACTGGGATACACCGACTTTCTGTCAGTTACTAAACAATAAGCTAATATATTCATAGGCTTACATTAATAAATTTGTAAAATGATAAGCAAATGTTCTGAACAACTACCGTCTAATAATAAAATAAATTGTAGATCTTTACTATTAAACCAGTCACTTTTATTAGTTTTAATAAATACAATTGTTTTTGGTGTGGCAATATGGTATAGAAATTGAATGCTAAATTCCTTTATTTATTCTTTCATTCTTTCATTCATTCATGTATTGTAGATATGAGTTATGGAAAGCGGAAGTAGAAAAAGGAAAGTTTTTATTGGCTGAAAATGAATTGAAATATAAAGAACAGCTGTTAGTTCGAGAGAAAACCAACCACGCTTTAAATAGACTGACTAAAGAGGAGAAATTAGCCAAAATAACCACAAACACTCTGAAACAAATAGATAGGTGACTTTGAAATAATTGATAATTGATAGTACTAACCTGTATCATGATACATAAGATACCGTAGACTACTGAACTATATACCAATGATAATCTCTATTAGAGTATTCTTTCAACCAACAAGTTCATTCCAAAAGTGATGCGGAATTCTAATAGAGTAATTTGGTAGCCTAAGAGAGAATGTTAAATGTGAAATTCTCACTGAATTATATTATTGGCCAATAATAGAAATTTGTTGTCCTTAGAGAGAATGTCAAATGTGAAATTTTATTTTATTTTAGACAAGAAAATGAGATGATGTTAGAACAGAGATTAAGACATCAACAAGCTATGGAAGAATCGAGAAAAAGTCATCAGAAAGCCAGTAAATATCTCAACCAAACTTTAGCTAAGTATGTTTAGATATTAATTATTTAATAGGGAGGGAGAGGGTAGACTCAAGAAAGCACTGGCAGTGTCGTTTATAATATAATTCTCCAGTAGTAAGAGAAATCTAAACTTAGAGTATTTATTTTCAGTGCATCAACAATTCAATTTGCTATCAACTGGTCTATTTGTATATACTGTACTACCTGTACCAGTAGTTAGAATGATTCAGTAGAATGCTTACCTCAAACAATACCTCAATACCTGAGGATTTGAAGTAGTAATCAGAATGACTGAACGCTAGTCTAATTCAGATAGATTTATATTTGTCTATTAATAATTTTAGATTAAAGTCTGAAAAAGAAGAAAATCGCAGTAATTATAAAAATAATATGACACGTAAAATAGATATGTTGTTAAAACTTAAGAAAGATATCGCTCTTAATAAGGTTGGTGATTTTAGGATTTGGGATTTGTCCACTCAATAGCTTTAATCTAGAAAAACTTACCAAATATATACTATAGGCTGTGCATGTTTAACATCCATGGAAGTAGATGTTACATGTTACAAGTGAAAAAATACTCTCTGGAAAGTTCTTCAATTGCGTACTGCATGGTTTGTGTATATTTTTTAGCCATCAAGGCTGAGATATTAAGAAATAGAACTGTTATTGTAAATATTTTATTTCAGGAGAATATGAAAGCTGTAAGATCTCGAGATAAAGCTCTAGAAAAAGAGAGAAATCTTCAAGAAGAAATGGAACGAGAGAAAATTCTAAAACAAGGCGGCAACGCTGATGAAATTTTACTGATTAAAAAAAGAATGAATGAATTTGAAAAACAGAAACAGTAAGTTGATCATAAAGTAACAATCTTTATTCTTGTAGATCTACTTAGATGAAGATATTAAAGATCTTTCGAAATACAGAGAATCAAGCAAAATTTCTCTCATAGCAACTCTGTATTTCTCAAGAGTTAAGTTCTCTAGTTCAGTATCTTCAGAACAAATCAACAATTTATAAAGGAATTTTCTTAACCACATAGATATATAATTATATTGAATATATTTGTTTTATTGAAATGTAAATTATTTGTAGGAAATTTGTGACAGATCAGAAAGATAAGAAAAGTGAGATTATGAAGAAAGTTTTAAGAGAAGAGGCGAGGATGGAGAAGAGAAAACGAGAACAATCATATCTGTGGATTGATTCCAGATCACAGAAAGATAAGGTTTGTGGTCTGTAGTCTTTACTGACCCATCTGGTGTTTACCTTTCTAAATTTACGACTGGGTTGACTGGAATAACGAGGAAAGATGACTTGTTCAGTAACCGTATTTACAGCTGGGAATATTGGACCAAACAACCACCACAAACTTTCCAACACTCGAACTAACTGAGTTATAGTGATGTTTTTTCCCCTGTATCCAGTTATTCAACTATTTTCAAACTCTATTGTAGAATGTGGCACCTCATAAGAAGAAACCATTAAAATGTCTGGAAGATTATAGTAGAGCAGCGTTAGAATCAGCAGGATTATTGGAATCGGCAGATTATTCTCTGTCTAACTATTCAATGGTAAGGTTTATTCTGTTACATTTTCATCTCAAAGATTTAAACACTTTGAGCAGCACGTTGAATACCAGTAGCCTATATAGAGAGATACCTTCCAGCAACTCAACCTTAGTAGTTTTTGGAGAACCCTGACCTCTAGGGTAGTAAACTCTGACCCATCCCAGATCAATTTAAAGATTGTGTACTCTCTTGTTTTTGTAGAAATCAGAAGAAGGTATTGATGAGGAAGAAACAGAAGAAAGTATTAAAATAGTAGAGATGTCAACAGAATCTACTGCTATTATTCCACCAGTCCAATATTCTGATGATAGTGATATTGAAGATATTATCACAGATAGACAAGGTAAGAACTTATTATATAATATTATTCCACCAGTCCAATATTCTGATGATAGTGATATTGAAGATATTATCACAGATAGACAAGGTAAGAACTTATTATATAATATTATTCCACCAGTCCAATATTCTGATGATAGTGATATTGAAGATATTATCACAGATAAACAAGGTAAGAACTTATTATATAATAGTATTCCACCAGTCCAATATCCTGATGATAGTGATATTGAAGATATTATCACAGATAGACAAGGTAAGAACTTATTATATAATATTATTCCACCAGTCCAATATTCTGATGATAGTGATATTGAAGATATTATCACAGATAAACAAGGTAAGAACTTATTATATAATATTATTCCACCAGTCCAATATTCTGATGATAGTGATATTGAAGATATTATCACAGATAAACAAGGTAAGAACTTATTATATAATATTATTCCACCAGTCCAATATTCTGATGATAGTGATATTGAAGATATTATCACAGATAGACAAGGTAAGAACTTATTATATAATATTATTCCACCAGTCCAATATTCTGATGATAGTGATATTGAAGATATTATCACAGATAGACAAGGTAAGAAATTATTATATAATATTATTCCACCAGTCCAATATTCTGATGATAGTGATATTGAAGATATTATCACAGATAGACAAGGTAAGAACTTATTATATAATATTATTCCACCAGTCCAATATTCTGATGATAGTGATATTGAAGATATTATCACAGATAGACAAGGTAAGAACTTATTATATAATATTATTCCACCAGTCCAATATTCTGATGATAGTGATATTGAAGATATTATCACAGATAGACAAGGTAAGAAATTATTATATAATATTATTCCACCAGTCCAATATTCTGATGATAGTGATATTGAAGATATTATCCAGATAAACAAGGTAAGAACTTATTATATAATATTATTCCACCAGTCCAATATCCTGATGATAGTGATATTGAAGATATTATCACAGATAAACAAGGTAAGAACTTATTATATAATATTATTCCACCAGTCCAATATTCTGATGATAGTGATATTGAAGATATTATCACAGATAGACAAGGTAAGAACTTATTATATAATATTATTCCACCAGTCCAATATTCTGATGATAGTGATATTGAAGATATTATCACAGATAGACAAGGTAAGAACTTATTATATAATATTATTCCACCAGTCCAATATTCTGATGATAGTGATATTGAAGATATTATCACAGATAGACAAGGTAAGAACTTATTATATAATATTATTCCACCAGTCCAATATTCTGATGATAGTGATATTGAAGATATTATCACAGATAGACAAGGTAAGAAATTATTATATAATATTATTCCACCAGTCCAATATTCTGATGATAGTGATATTGAAGATATTATCCAGATAAACAAGGTAAGAACTTATTATATAATATTATTCCACCAGTCCAATATTCTGATGATAGTGATATTGAAGATATTATCCAGTCCAATATTCTGATGATAGTGATATTGAAGATATTATCACAGATAGACAAGGTAAGAACTTATTATATAATATTATTCCACCAGTCCAATATTCTGATGATAGTGATATTAAAGATAATATCACAGATAGTAAAGGTATAGACCTTAGATTTTTACATCACAATTACTTTTCATATCAGGTTTCAAAATCTTGGCGATTGTTGTTTTGTTTATACTTGACCTCTATTTATAGCTTTCTGAATGCAGAGGTGCCACTCACTAATTGCAATAAAAGTTTATCACATTTAGTTTCAAGTATGTATCAATGTGTGAATACTGAATTAAGCGTTTTTCATTCCGTTGATATTCCAGAAGATACAGTGAGCCTAGCGAAACCCGAGTTTGATGGATTGTGGGATAAACATAAACCTTACCACGTTCCTAAAGATCTGGACACACAATTAAAATTACCAGGTAGCAGCAAGATGGAAAAAGTAAGTATTGAATTTTCTTTTTGTTTCTCATGGGCCTCCTGATAGTTTTTGTACACTAGTGTTTATATTCTGTTTTTTATTTTTGTTTCTCCAGACGATGTTTTGTTGTTTTATGTGAAACTATATCAGGTAGAATTTAATTGGTGATTTTGTCTTTAAATTGTTTTTTTTTTTTTTTTTTTTACATTTAAAACATATCTTATTCTTATCCTGTCTTTTTGATAATATTCTATACATGTATCTGATATATTTTTGTTTGTTAATTTGATGTTTATTTTAACGTAGGAAATAATGCAGAAAGTTTTAGAGAAACATCGTGAAGGTATCACTATCAAACAAGTCGCGGCTGGTCGAGAATTTACTGGATGTCCTTTCTACAGTAAACCTGATATTATACACTTTAAGGTAAGACTGGATGTCCTTTTTATATTGTACGTTTTTTGGACGACGCCCAAAATAGTAAAAACTTAGAAAGGCACTCTTTGAACACATCATAACAAGGAGTTCTGCAAAGTTTCCCTGATCTAGAAAATGTCTGAGGGGTGGGGAAAAGGGTCGATACCCGTAAATACACCACTGTCTGTTATTGTCAACTATCAGTATTTGATATTGATTATGTGTTTAGTTGTGTATTTTTTAGAATTTTGATATAGGAGAGAAGTATAAGAAGAGAGTTATTTTAACTAACGTATCATACTCTGTTAATTATTGTAAATACGTCAACATTACAGAAAAACTTAAAGATTTTATCAAAATAGAGTAAGTAGGATTTTAAACATGTTTAATCATTATTTATTTATAAAATAACTAGTTTTACATATACAAACTGAGTCAGCTCTTCCCTGAGGACAATTCCAAACTTTTATTATTATTGAAAGTATGAAAAAATTATTGAAATTAAGATCCATTAAAATAGGTATTATTGTAAGAGTCTTGTGAAGGGTATCACTCGTAAAGCAGGGCAGTGCCCTCAACCTGTCTAGATAAACCGTGAAGATAGTGAATATCTATTTTACTTCTAACTATTTTATTTATTTTTCAGTTTTGATCCGCCTGGTCAGATGTCAGCTGGGTTAACTTGTGAAATCTTTGTTACATTTAAACCAATGGTATGTCTCATAGATTTCTAAATTATTCAAATTTAAACTTCAGAAACAAAATAGTTTTATTGCATTGCCATTAAAGTTATATTAAAAAACAAACTTGGTGGCCCTGTTTCTACAACATCTCAAGATAATAACTTGTTATAATAATTGTTGAATTCTAATTTGAGAAATAACAGACTGAAAAAAAAGTCTACTGATTTTTGTGAAACAGATTCTATTAATCTAGCTCTCTCTCTAATATTACAAATGTCAATCTATTAACTGGATGTTTGATTGTAGATCAATGAAGATTTAGAAGGTGAAGTTAATTTCTTGTCTCAAACTGGGCCGTTTTCTATTCCACTTAAATGTACCACTAAAAAATGTGATGTAAGTATAACAATTTAATATTTACAATTTGATTACTGATAAATAAGACAATTTATGTATAGATACTTCTAGAATATTTATTACTTCAACGTTTCAATGTGGTTCTCACACCGTCATCAGGAATATAATAATATATATATATTATAATATTATATTCCTGATGACGGTGTGAGAATCACATTGAAACGTTGAAGTAATAAATATTCTAGAAGTATCTATCCATATAATTGTCTTATTTATCTATAACCTGTGCTTCTAATATGCCTTTGAAAGAGAGATAACTTCAAATTTTTCTTCCAAAACTAAACAGAATATCTTATCTAAAAATTCTTAGCTCTCTTGTAATATCTTATGTTGATGATGTCGATACTTAGATCTAAAACAAGCCAGTGCTTTACATAGAAGTTTTTAGGAACTTCTTCACTCTTAACACAAGCTGATTATGGTTACTTTAATCGAAGGAAGTATTTTGGACCTTGATCTCATGTTTCAAAGCTGTATAAATAAAACAATGTCCCATAATGGAAGGTTTGAGAAAACTTGTTGGACCTTGATTTAACTGGGTTAAAACTTTGTAAAATACAACCTAATAATGTCGTACTATTGTTTATTATCTCTACAGGTTAAAATAGATACAACGTTAGTTGATTTTGGTGTAACTGTTATCGGTGAAATGTTAAAAAGATCAGTAACTCTTACTAATAAAGGTGCCATGGCAACCAAATTTGATTTCTTCAAAGTTACAGGTAAGCTTTTAGGACAGATCTTTCTGTGAATGTTTTTATAAAAATATCTTTTGTAGAATTCTAATATAACGAGGTTTTCTATTAAGTATAAATATTTTATCTTTCTTGTAGGAATGAAACATGGAACTTGTACTACAGCTGAAACATCTCTAGGACGTCTTGTAAGTTATATATCATCAATATATTTATAGTCTCTTTCTTTCATTCTAAACAAAACAGTATAACAAGTATCTCTAGGACGTCTTGTAAGTTATATATCATCAATATATTTATAGTCTCTTTCTTTCATTCTAAACAAAACAGTATAACAAGTATCACTAGGACGTCTTGTAAGTTATATATCATCAATATATTTATAGTCTCTTTCTTTCATTCTAAACAAAACAGTATAACAAGTATCACTAGGACGTCTTGTAAGTTATATATCATCAATATATTTATAGTCTCTTTCTTTCATTCTAAACAAAACAGTATAACAAGTATCACTAGGACGTCTTGTAAGTTATATATCATCAATATATTTATAGTCTCTTTCTTTCATTCTAAACAAAACAGTATAACAAGTATCACTAGGACGTCTTGTAAGTTATATATCATCAATATATTTATAGTAACTCAAAATAACTAGCATGTTCCTTTCATTCTAAACAAAATAATAAAACAAGTATCTTATTTCCGTTGAAATTAAATGTTTGTTTTTTTAGAAAAAAATGATTTAGGTTATATTTAGGGTAAATAAATTATATTCTCATACCTGTTTGAAGTATCTGAATATTCATAATTTATATTTGTTTGAAGTATCTGAATATTCATAATTTATATCTGTTTGCAGTATCTGAATATTCATAATTTATATTTATATTTGTATATTTCAGACAGCTGATACAATGAGAGCTTTGAGTCCAGATTCTTCAGATCAAAAAATATCAGACACCAAACTGAAATCAGATAGTAAGTAAAATCAGTCAGATAGACAATTATTCAATATAATTCCATTATAAGACTCTACCCTCAATAATTTCTTCTTCTATCTCAAAGTAAAAGCAGGTTTAGCCTGTAACACTTATTAAAAGCTATATAATTATCAATATTCTGCATTTATAGATCTAGAAAAGATTATAGAAACCAGTCCTGATGTAGCCAGCCTAGCTGTTGGTGAGGTTACTGCTAGTGGTGTTGTAAAAGAGGGAGAAGAGTTATCATCACCTGCCGTACCTGATACAGAGGATGATTTAAAACCTCCAGAACCAGGTTTGTCTACGATTAATCCACTTGTTAGCTTTAGGACATCTCGCAACTCTGAAAAGACAATTTGTTAATTTAATAATTTACAAATTTGAATTTTTTGACAAATTTTGAATGTCAATGGTTTATTTAACAACACCTTTGAGTTGATTGGCTGAAATATTTTTCAAGAGCATTACTAATCTCTCAATTACTGAAAAGATAAACAATTTGAAAGTCACAGTATATTTTATTTCAATAGCAGGAAAACTGTACATCACATTTAAATTCTGAAAAGTGCTATGGATAGCTGAAATTCAGCTTTAGCAGCTTGTAAAATAAATATTTGATTTAGATTTTTAATACTCTATATTCTAGAGCCATCTCCTGAGTTTGCGTTCAGTGAAATGGAAGATTACGGAACAGTAGATGGTATGAAAGTTGGCAGTGTAGTATCAGGAGAAATAAAGGAGTTCTCATCAGTTAAACTAGAGATATTCTGGCAACCAACAATACCTGGTCCAGTAGACACAGAATTTCTCATTTCTTTCTCAGATCCTCTATCTGAAGGGGTAGGTTATATTTTAGATTATTTATTGATATTTAGTTTAACTCATGTATTAGATAATTATTATGTGTTTTTATCACTTGTTTCATGTGTAATTATTATGTGTTTTAATGTTTTTTTATCATGTGTTTGATCACATGTTTCAGGTACATTCTGATATATTTTTATATACGCCCACATGAATATGTGGTCGTATATTGTCGTCGCCCCTGTCCGTCGGTCGGTCCGTCCGTCAACATTTCTTGTGAGCACTATAGAGACTACAGTTTTTATCTGATTTTGATAAAACTTAGTGTGATGCTTTAGATTGGTAAGATCTCGGTCAAGTTCGAATTTGACATATTTTCGATGAACGGTTTTTGAGATATTGCCCTTGACTTAGAACGCCTTGAAATTTGTTAAAAATTGTTCGTGAGCAGGATTGAAGCTACAGTTTTCAACCAATTCTGATGAAACTTGGTGTGATCATTGGAATTGATAAGATCTCGGACAAGTTCTAACAAGAGATATTTTTGATGAACGGTTTTTGAGTTATTGCCCTTGACTTTGTTAAAACGTGTTGAAATTTGTTAAAAATAGTTTGTGAGCAGGATAGACGCTACAGTTTTCAACCGATTCTGATGAAACTTGGTGTGATCATTGGAATTGATAAGATCTCGGACAAGTTCTAACTTGATGCATTTTTGATGAACATTTATAGAGTTATTGCCCTTGACTTTGTAAACACGCGTCAAAAGTTGTTTTTTGCCCTTGATTAGAGCTATGTGATTTAATTGTTGTATTTGGGTTATTGATATTGATTTTAAAAAATTTTGTGGAATTATTCAGCATAAATAATTTCTTCAGTATGAGAATATTCGTACTTTAGTCACTAAAGACTGTTTTATTTTTTCTGACAGCTGCCAGTGGGCGTATGTTACCTTGTATCGCAAGCTATCTTTTGAATTTACAATGTGTTCAGTTGTTATTTTTGTGATGTGATGTTTATGTGGTTTCATTTTTTTATTTATTTGTGTTTTTAATCACAAGTTTTGAAAATGTTATTTGGCGATGTATATTTATGTTTTTTTATATTATTTTATATTATATGATTGTGTGTTATTTTATTTATCATGTGTTTTTGTGTTTCATGTGTTATGTGTGAATGTGTTTTATATTGTAGATATCTGTAAGATCGGTAGCTAAAGCTATAGATGTACCAGTTTGGGTTGAAAGACCAACTATAGATGTTAAAATCTGTATGTTTAATAGACTCTATCAAGATACTATAGTTGTTAATAACAGGTAAATAGCTTTACTTTAGTTTATAATCAAGATAATACCCTTGAATTTATCGACACAGTTTCTCCCTGTCCATGATGTAGGTGGGAGGGACTGACATATTTAATCGGAATATATTTCACAGAGTCCACATAGTTAATAATGTTTATTTTCAATGTAAATTTCTATGATTGATTTATATCTTTCAGAGCCACTACAGCTTTGAGATTAAAATTTGAAATTTGTAAAGAATTAGAAAATCATTTAGAATTATTACCTAAAACAGGTTATATACAGGCCCAGGCACAGTTTTCAGCTCAACTTAAATTTCTACCAAGGTAAGTTCTCTAATATTTGTATTTTGTGTGTATTTTGTTTATTAATGATTGAATTGTAAAATAAACCCAATATAAGTAACAAAAAGAGAAAAACAGGAGTTAAATTTACAAAAAGGTTAATTTGAAAGGCATTGAAGAAATGTTATTGTGCCTGTTAGTTCACGTTATAAAACCTCAACTCAACTTTAACTTCAACAGGAGCAAACTACTTTATATTTAGTTAGTTGACGTAATAATGAAGAGATTTGACTGAATACATGATAGGTTGTTTCAATGCTATCTAACACCATGTTATGTTTTTTTCTTGTCATTATAATTTTAGAAATGAAATAATTCTGATTTTATTATAATTATATTTATCTCTAGAACAAGTTTATTTGTGATTATGATTTTTAACGATGTTTTAAATTAATTATATTTTGATTTTGATGTAGACCAAGTTTATTTGAAGAAAGTTGTAAATATTTTGATAAAGAAACGGGTGTTTTAGAAGCTCCAATGACAATCAGAGTAGCTGATCAGGTAAAATTAAATCTTGCTGTTTCATTATTCCGTACATTCTGTAATCCTTGAATTGGAAACTAAACAATACAGAAAATCCAGAGTCAATTAAAAGTCAATATTTACATCATAGAACTGTAAAAATATAATCATTTAGACTGTGGTTTATGTAATACAGAATATAATATTAACAAGACTAGCCTGCTACAAGTTAAGATTAACAGTTTTTAATAATTTTTGTTTATTTTTTCAGACACAACCAGTAATGTTTATGTTGGTTGCCGTAGTAACTAATTCTGATATAGAGTTTGATATTAAAGATATAGATTTTGGTAACGCCTCTATTTATGAGTCTGTTAAAACTTCCGTTAAAATGACCAATAAATCTATCCTACCTCAAGATTTTGGTTTTCTTGGTCTGCCGGAGGTAAAGTGAATTTATCATTTTATTTTAAAATTTATTTACAATCACAAAGGTTTGTTAATTTGACGGATCTCTAATCTTAATAAAACTTATTTGTATATTTCAGTATGTAGAGGTACAATCTAATGATGGTTTTGGAACTCTAGCTTAAGATGTTATTTGTATATTTCAGTATGTAGAGGTACAACCTAATGATGGTTTTGGAACTCTACTACCACTAGAAACTATAGATTTAGACGTTATTTTCAGTCCTAAGAAAGCTAGAGATTATAAATTTGAACTGACTTGTAAATCTATGATTAACAGGTTAGTAAAATTGATGTTTTCTGTTTCCTGGTTTCATTCGTTTATTTTCGCTGATAATAATTTTGGTTTGTATAATAATATATCCTATTATTATTTCAGAGATTTTAAGATTCAATGTAAAGGAGTAGGTGTTCATCCACCATTAGAATTATCTCATCAAGTTCTTCATTTTGCTGCTACTTCACTGTACGACGTATCTTCTACAGCTTTCCATGTTATTAACTCTCATACTAGTAATAATGAATATACACATCCTGTACCTAGAATTGGAAAAGGTAAAGACAAGGGGCACTTGTTAACAAATCTTACTGTACATTTTATTCTTCAAAACAAATAATATAATAAGATACAGGGAATTGTTGAACTAATTTATAAAAATAATGTTAAAAATACATAAAACTTTCTTTTATTCATGATCTAAGAGAAAATGCTGTCTTCAGTAAAACAATCTGGAACAGAAAAAAAGGACTTAAAACTCCATATCTTTACACGAAACAGGAAGCTTTCTCCTAATCTCTTAATCCTCTTCTAATCTGTTATTCCACTTTATATTTTCAGGAGAGATTGCCCCAGTTGGTCCAACATCATTTGAGTTTGTGACGCCACCAGATTGTCCGTTAACTATTTCACCATCAGTTGGTACTATACAGCCAGGCAAGGTAGGTGTCTACAGCATCACTGTCTTCCATTCTTATACATAATCGTTAACAGCTAACCATCGCAATCATGACAGTCTTGCTAACTGATTTTCATTTTTCTTCTAGAAATGTAGAATTCAAGTTCGATTTTCACCAACTTTAAAAGAAGAAATCATTCGTAAAGAAGCTGTTAAAATGGCCACCAAACAAATGGAAGCAGACGCACAGAGAGAATATGAAGAGGCTTTAAAGAAAGAAAAAGAACTTCAAGAACAAGCTCAGGTAAGCTAAGTTTAACTCCAAATCTAAAGCCTAAGCTGTCTTAGATTTAACTTTGGCATTTTGTGATACATGCCTTAAATCTTTTATTTTACTGTTAACAGTTAGCAGCGTTAAAGAAAGGATCTAAAGGCAAGTCATCACCGAAAGGAAAGGCCAAGACAACAGGACCATCAGCTAATAACGTAACAACTATACAACAACCTAAACCTGTTGTACCTCCTGAAGCTAGTTCTATTTCTAAAGAGTAAGTTATAAAACCAAACGGACAAATTCTATTTTTCATAATCTTTTGCCCAATTCCAAGAAAAACACTGGTACCCTGATTCCATTAGTCTGAGACCCCAAGTAAACACAATCATTGATGGTAAACATGGAAGAAATTAAATAACTACTTTCTCTAGTAAAAATAGAGACAATTCCTACAGCTATATATGATATCAGATTTTTATTTCTAATCTTCAGAGCTTGTTTACTGCTAAAAATCTTGCTCAAAATATAGGTTCCTTCTATATTATAGTCGTAAAGAAACCCTATTTTGAAATTGTTTGTGTTGAATTCTATTTTGTGTTTTTAATTGTAGTTCGAGTGCGTATTCAGCTGCTATTGGTTCGTTATTACGACAATATAAAGGAAAGTTTAATACCTACGTAGTACCATGTTATATTGGGTCGGGGCCCTGTGGTGATCCTGGTTCACTTAAATATAGGTCAGTAACAAAAAATATAACCGCAGGGCCAACTTTCCTCTAAACCTTCTATTTTTATCCATTTGTTTTTTCTGGGCCCTGAGCTTAACTTAATGTAGAATTATACATCACTAACAGTCCATGTCCCGTATTCTCGAAACGATCTTAGCACTAGGACGTCCAAGGGTCTTAATATCTAACACTGTTTTTAGGACGTCCTAGGGCCTTGATATCTAACACTGTTTTTAGGACGTCATGTTTAATGTAAATTGTGTATATTTCAGTATTTATAATACAGTATATCTAGAAGTTCATTGTCCAACAGTCAAACCTCAAGTAGTCATAATATCAGATAGTGGAAAAAATAGTGTAGATTTCGGTGAGGTGTCTATTGGTCAAAACGTCACCAGATCAGTTACCATGCAGAATATCAGTGATAAAACAGTAGAGGTATCCTTTTAAAAAAATAAGATGTTATAACCATAAGATACAATGGTGATGATGGTAGATGACAAGTTAACGTCTGTTTCAACACAACTTAATGGAATAACTCAGCCTCCAGAGACTAGGGGTACAAATAGGGGCCAGACTGACTCAAAGGGGGGGCACAAACTCTCGAGGCTGATTTCAAAATACAAACTTTTTCTTTTGTGTGATCTTTGTACTATTTATGTGTCCTTAACTTCCTGAAGTTAACTTCTACGCTGCTAGACACTGACGGTCCGTTTCTGATGTTAAATGCATTGAGAGTTCTTTCCCCTGGTGGAACACATACAGCTGTTCTATCATTCGCTCCTGATAAAGGTTGTGTGGTAAGTATAAATAATTTTGTTGTGAAACATAAAGTTACTTCTTTTCTTTCTCAATATTTTAATATTCTGGTTCTTCATTTCTCACGCTCAGTTTTATGTCATAATTTTCTCCACCTTGTTGAGGTAATGGAGACATTCAAGGCCATGCAGTGTGCAATGAGGGAAATTTTGCCAACACTAGCCTACTTATATTTATTTCCAACTGTCAAGGTATTGGACAGCATATTGTGATGAATATAATAACTGTTAAATGAGAAGGGAGATGTTTGAATGTCCTATTTCTTAATTCACATTTAAAAAACTTGACAGGAAAATCTAAAATGGCTTTATTTGTTATATTTGTGTTTTGAAATGGCTTTATTTGTTAAATTTGTGTTTTAGAATCAAGAAGTACTATCTATAAAGAGTGGATCTAGTATTTTAGCTATGACGTTAGTTGGTAAAGGTGTTAGTAATGTTATTATATTTGTGTTTTAGTATCAAGAAGTATTATCTATAAAGAGTGGATCTAGTATTTTAGCTATGACATTAGTTGGTAAAGGTGTTAGTAATGTTATTATATTTGTGTTTTAGTATCAAGAAGTATTATCTATAAAGAGTGGATCTAGTATTTTAGCTATGACGTTAGTTGGTAAAGGTGTTAGTAATGTTATTATATTTGTGTTTTAGTATCAAGAAGTACTATCTATAAAGAGTAGATCTAGTATTTTAGCTATGACGTTAGTTGGTAAAGGTGTTAGTAATGTTATTATATTTGTGTTTTAGTATCAAGAAGTACTATCTATAAAGAGTGGATCTAGTATTTTAGCTATGACGTTAGTTTGTAAAGGTGTTAGTAATGTTATTGTATTTGTGTTTTAGTATCAAGAAGTACTATCTATAAAGAGTAGATCTAGTATTTTAGCTATGACGTTAGTTGGTAAAGGTGTTAGTAATGTTATTATATTTGTGTTTTAGTATCAAGAAGTATTATCTATAAAGAGTGGATCTAGTATTTTAGCTATGACGTTAGTTGGTAAAGGTGTTAGTAATGTTATTATATTTGTGTTTTAGTATCAAGAAGTATTATCTATAAAGAGTGGATCTAGTATTTTAGCTATGACGTTAGTTGGTAAAGGTGTTAGTAATGTTATTATATTTGTGTTTTAGTATCAAGAAGTATTATCTATAAAGAGTGGATCTAGTATTTTAGCTATGACGTTAGTTGGTAAAGGTGTTAGTAATGTTATTATATTTGTGTTTTAGTATCAAGAAGTATTATCTATAAAGAGTGGATCTAGTATTTTAGCTATGACGTTAGTTGGTAAAGGTGTTAGTAATGTTATTATATTTGTGTTTTAGTATCAAGAAGTATTATCTATAAAGAGTGGATCTAGTATTTTAGCTATGACGTTAGTTGGTAAAGGTGTTAGTAATGTTATTATATTTGTGTTTTAGTATCAAGAAGTATTATCTATAAAGAGTGGATCTAGTATTTTAGCTATGACGTTAGTTGGTAAAGGTGTTAGTCCTATAGTTAATTTATCTATAGAATCAGGACTATTTGACATGGGAGCTGTATTAGCTGGGGAATACTGTGAAAGAACTTTTAAGGTAACAAATTTAAACTTAATAGAAATGTAGAATCTCTTTGTAGAATTTTAAATTCTGTGTTTTTAAGGATTATTGTTTTTACTGTTGATAACCCTGAAGGTTCCGGGGTGTGGCAGAGATTGAGATGTTTCCTCTCGATTATTATCAATTTTCAAACGTATTTAAATCAGCAAAATTAATAATCAACCTTTCACATTTGTTTGTTTTTTTTAATTTGTATTCCTGAAAAGATCGTGTATTATAATGATTTGTAAATCTATTTTCAGATTAATAATACATCATCTCTATCTATAGACTATGTTATAAAACTAGATAGTTTATCATTGTTACGTCACGCCAAATCTCAATATCTTCCAACTTTTATTAAACGAGATAAAAAACACAAATCTTATGTTGGTAAGTATACTGTCTGATTTCATTAACTTTAAAACACATATATACATATTAAAACTAATAAATCTGTTAGAATGAGTTTAAATATGTTAATGAGTTGGTTTGAATATGTTAATGAGTTTGTTTAAATATGTTAATGAGTTGGTTTAAATATGTTAATGAGTTGGTTTAAATATGTTAATGAGTTGAACTTGTTACTGTATGATCATATTACAGTTTTATCCAATGAAATTGAAGCTTTTGCAAGTCATGATATTTGATAAAAAAGAAGTGGAGCTTCAGCCATACAATAAAATCAAAATGGACTGGTTGTAGCACACCTAAGCTCCACCTATTTTTCTCTTAGATATTATTTGGCTTTCATGTTAAGTTATTCATCACCATGGTTTCTTAATGCTTATCAAAATATTTTAATATTTCAGGTACACAAAATTTTAATGGACAGAATGTGTTCGATTTGGTTCCATCAGAAGGAAGTATTCCTGCAGGTAATGTTTCAAAACATTTCATTATCTTACAGAATGACCCTGTGTGTGAAGCAGACCATACTTACTCTTTTCCATACACCTGATGGTACTTCTCTTTGGAGGAGTTCACTACTATACAACTTTTACTCCGGAGTTTGATTAATGGATTTGTCTTGCTTGTACAGATTTTTATATCTTTCTTGATCCATCTTAAACTAAATGTTAAATGATTGTCACATGACCAAGATGTAATTTTTATCATCATCAGTAATTTTACTTATTAATTGTGTTATTAATTTATATTTCAATAAAATATTTTGTAAATTTTGGTTTGTGTAGCTGATTGATTTTATTTTGATATTTACATTGGAATTAGTTTTATGATTATTGTTAGTAGTTAAGTTTCAACACCAGTCCTGTCCTATGTTTGATGTTTAGTTGTTATATTTTGTTTCTAGGTGATAATAAAGAAATCACAGTAACTTTTGCTCCAGATCATTGTAGTGAGAATTATTCTGATGGTGTTCGAATTGAATTGTTTAATCAGGTAGCTATATTGTTTTAATTATCCAGTCTTTATTAGGTGGAGAATAGTTATTTTGTTTTATATTCTGATGGTCATACACGATTTAAGAAACGTCTTTAAAAAAAAAATATTAACTTTTTTCCACTACTCCATAACCTTTAAAAAAATAATAAAAATACAGAATTCATCTTAAATAATGAAAATAAACTAATATTATAAGACCTATCCTGTCCGATTATTAAAAATCAAAATAACACTGAAAAAATTAAAAATTGTTTATATCTTTATTTGTAGGAGGAAAGCCATTTTTTTGAGTTGAAAGGTTTGGGTAAAAATCATATTATGTATATGTTTGGTGGAGATGATTTAACACCTGATGTAGAATCACTAGCTGTTTTACCAGTTACAGAGGATGATGAAGGTAAGAAAATAAACAGGCTTTATAAAAATTGTCAACAGGTTTTCTTATCAGGGACACTAATAACTTCAATTTACACCATTTCAATTTTCAGTTTTTGTAATTCCACTAAAAGGAAGTATTCTATTATTTCACCATTTTTATACGCCCACATGAATATGTGGTCGTATATTGTCGTTGCCCCTGTCCGTCCGTCCGTCTGTCAACATTTCTTGTGAGCACTATAGAGACTACAGTTTTTATCTGATTTTGATAAAACTTGGTGTGATGCTTTAGATTGATAAGATCTCGGTCAAGTTCGAATTTGACATATTTTCGATGAACTGTTTTTGAGATATTGCCCTTGACTTAGAACGCCTTGAAATTTGTTAAAAATTGTTCGTGAGCAGGATTGAAGCTACAGTTTTCATCCGATTCAGATGAAACTTGGTGTGATCATTGTAATTGATAAGATCTCGGTCAAGTTCTAACTTGACGCATTTTCGATGAACGGTTTTTGAGTTATTGCCCTTGACTTTGTTAAAACGTGTTGAAATTTGTTAAAAATAGTTCGTGAGCAGGATTGAAGCTACAGTTTTCAACCGATTCTGATGAAACTTGGTGTGATCATTGGAATTGATAAGATCTCAGACAAGTTCTAACAAGAGATATTTTTGATGAACATTTTTTGAGTTATTGCCCTTGACTTTGTAAACACGCATCAAAAGTTGTTTTTTGCCCTTGATTAGAGCTGTGTGATTTAATTGTTTGTTGTATTTGGGTTATTGATATTGATTTTAGAAAATTTTGTGGAATCATTCAGCATAAATAATTTCTTCAATATGAGAAAATTCGTACTTTAGTCACTAAAGACTGTTTTATTATTTCTGACAGCTGCCAGTGGGCGTATGTTACCTTGCATCGCAAGCTATCTTTTGAGTTATTGCCATTGACTTTGTAAACACGCATCAAAAGTTGTTTTTTGCCCTTGATTAGAGCTGTGTGATTTAATTGTTTGTTGTATTTGGGTTATTGATATTGATTTTAAAAATTTTGTGGAATTACTCAGCATAAATAACTGGCATATATATATATGTAATTGAATTCAAACTAATAAAATTTCTTCAATATGAGAAAAATTCGTACTTTAGTCACTAAAGACTGTTTTATCATTTCTGACAGCTGCCAGTGGGCGGCCTCGCAAGCTATCTTCAAAGTTCTTTACAATCCATTTTTTAGTTTACAAGTTTACAGAAATGAAGTTACAATTTTGAATATATTTTGTAGAAGTGAAGCCGACAGCAATACCAATGTTAGTAAGTTTATTTAGTGTAGCTAAAGAAACAGAAGTTATACCAGCTAACAGAGATGTATTTGTAGCCTGTGTACGAACTATGGCAGTCAGTCAGAAGAAGGTAGGAACAACTCTCAGCTTGTCTTTTGATATTAGATCTGTTGTAACTAGTTTATATCTAACTATTTTAATTCCTCATTCAGATATTTTCATCAAAATGATTATTTTGTTTAACAGACATCATGCTTTGTTTCATTTCAATCTAGAATAATTCAGGATGGCTATCGAATTCATTTTGTGTTTATCTAATTGATTTTAAAATGTAAATGCCTGTTTTTGTTATTGTGTTAATAAATCGCAGACTGCATCAGAATGTATCATATAATGTGGCATGAATACTTACACCAAATTCACAACAATTCTAACACAATTCACTTTGTTTTATTAAAATTAACAGTATTATGTTAAATGTTATGCTTACACCCCACTAATTCTTATTGTAACAATCAAATATCCCAGCCTAGTGTTTGTTGTATATTTAATATATTAACTGTTATATATGATATTTTCACCTCACTAATATCAATATTTCACCTCTTTATTGCATGTTGTGTTGTAACTGATAATAATTTAACAGGATTCTAAAAAGGTTTGTAAAGTTTTCAGAATTTCTTTCATTTCACTCTATGGCTTGACTGTCTTTTTACCTCATCAGGTTTCTTTTAAGAGAAAACACTCTGTGATGCTGCCCATCTTTGTAAGTTCAATCAGATGCAGAAAAGTAGGACGTAAAACTCCATTTCATTTACATCTAAATCTAAAGAGTCTTGGTCCGTCCACTATTCATAATAATTCACTTAATAATAAGCAAGGTAATTAAAACATGACTTGTATTTTATATTACAGAATGGAGAATATCAGTTTGAAAATGTTCAACTTATTCAATCTAAAGGTTTCAGTATTGAACCTCAAAAGGTAAAATCTATATTGTAATAAATTCCTTTGTCTGAAATCTTTGTGTTCATCTGATTCCACTCTGTAAATTAGTTTTTTAACTCAGCATCTGAATATTGGAGATATTTTTATACTAATGATACTATTTTTATTGAAATAATTTTTATGAATTTTGAATAGTTATTGGTTATTGACTGTTGTCATATTGGACCAGTTGATATTGTGAATAGTGTTTTAACTGATGTATGTATTATATTATAGGGTATGATAGAAGCTGGTACTAAGAAAGCTGTTACAATAACTTGGACTCCTCCCCCTGGTCATGAGGTAAATTCTCACAAACTTGTCGACTTTTAATATTAATTATAATTATACATATTTATCCTATTTTTAAACATTATTCTGATAGCTCATGTTTTAATAACTTTGCCGTTTTTGTTTTGATGATGTTCCCTGTCTATTGTTGGTATCGTAACTTATATTTTATTGTTATATTTTCAGTCTAATCAGCCAATGGAAGCGTCTGTTCTAGTGACGTTAAAAGGTGATGCTGTTGAACAATATAAACTGATGTTACGTGGGATTATAGTCTCTGAATAACTCATCCTGAATACACCTCAACTAGATTTTATTATAATACATCATATATTTACAATATCCTTCCTTTATATTTCTTCAGATTTAATTTATTTACATCTGTGATATTCTGTTTTACAATTGAATATTTATCCAATTTATTTTATTGTTTTGAACAAATCGAAGCTAATACAAAAAGAGACTTAAGCAGATAACTTGTGAAGTCTTCAGTGAGCAGCATTATCAATATAATTATTTTATTTGAATCTGTGATATTTTTATTTATAAATGAATATGAATCAGTTTAATGTTTTGTTTTTGGTGAAATAATATAATATATTATAATATTATATTCATGATTGTCTTTGAATACGATGTGAGAAATGGTGACCTATTTATGATATTGTATAATTTGATCCTGTGAAATTAGCTGTTTTGTTTTGATCACAATGGCTGTCACCTCTCTATATCTAAATCCTATATCTGGTTACAACGTGTAACAATTATGAAACAGACTATTTGATGTTGTTATAATGACATTCCTTCCATTACTTGGACAGGTATTTAGCATTATTTTAATTTTCAGAAGACAAAATGATGTTTCCGTAGTATGACCTCAATTGTTGTGTAACATAGAAAAAACAATATAGATATCAGTAATAATTTATTTTATGATGGTATTTTAAATATAACATTACATTATTTATGTTGTTATGACATCACATCTGTTATCTTGCCATAAATAGGTTAAGAAATTGAAATACTACAAAACGTCCGAGACATGAATTTTTTAAATATTTAATAATTATAAAAAATGTTCAATATTAATTTCTAGAGCTGAACATGGTTGATTTAAATCAAACTTAGTGATGACGTCGGGATGGAGAGTTCCTAGTTTACCAACTGATTCATTTCTCACCATAATATCAGCACATCTACCAGGGAAATACGTAGAATCTAGAAACAGAAAGGAAAGACGTGATTGATTTTATAATCTGTGATATAAGAGAGACTATTTCAACTCAAGAACGACGATACAAAAGTTAAAAACTTATAACTGCTTTTCTTAGTCGCAAACATACACAACTGGTAGGGCTGCAACCATTCCTAAAGTGGCGATCCGATACACAAACGATACTCGTTCAACGATACGATTTATTGCGATAATAAATTGCGATTCTTTGATTAAAAGGGAAAGAAAATGAAAACTGATAATTAATAACATTTTAACACAGTTCAAATTATTTTGGCACGCTTAGAAGTACAAAATTCACTTTTTATCATTTGTTACACACAAGGACTAACAAATCAAATAATAAATAAAATACCAAACCATTGGCAAATATCTTAATTGGGAATTGTCGTCGTAATAAATGGGAAAACCAAATGACTTCCAAACTTCAGATTTATACTCAGCGTTATCAATTTCGATTTTTTTCACTGGCCTTTTCACCCTCAGTAATCTTTGACATAATTTTAGCCTGACTTTATTTGATGACGTTGTCGGTAGAGATGATTCCGAGCTAATAATTCATAAAATATTTCGGTGTTCAAATGTTTCGATAATAAGGTATTCCACGATATTCTGCTATTTCCCGATGGCATTTAAAACCACGATCTTGAGAACCAGAAAAAAAAAAAGATTTTAAACCGAAAAAGCAAAGAAATATCGTTCTGTGTTTTGTTGTTAGTAACGAGGTCATAAATTGCATTTTTGAGAATGGATCATATATATTTTGGTTTCATAAAAACGTATTGAGCTTCAGAATCTTATTTCCAAGAGCGCTGTATCAAATAAACAGCTTCGTGGAATTATTTTATGACTATGCAAACACATCTTACGTTGGAAAAAAAAAAAGTTTATATCAGATCCCATGCGTTTATCTTCCACTTGGCATATTAATATGTTCTCTTTTCATCGTTTATAACAAAAATTAATAATGCTGAAGACAAATTTATACCAAGCAGTTTTTTAACATTTGAACATGACACAATTTCTAAAATACGCGAGGATTCTGTGCTATTAGTCATTAAAGGGAGTTAATTATATTTATGAGAATCGGGCCGATGTATCGCGATTATTTTTTTCTTCCACAATGCATCGGTAAGAAGGAACGAATTGCGATTCATCGATTTAACGGTGAATCGTTGCAGCCCTAACAACTGGTGATTGATATGGTTGGCCTTTTAGACATATCTTTAAAAACACTCATTGATCAGGAGAAGAAGAGAAGAATTTATACTAACCATCACAAGCCTTGATATAATAACCATCTTTCTTATCGTAGGGTATTTCTAGTAATTTCATCACCCTGTCTAATAAACCATGAATTACCTCAAAACCTGATGATTTATTATAATGTATAGCACAGAGTCGACGTTCATTACGAGCTCCAACATCTAGAATAATAATTAGACAGATTGAAAAATCTACACAGAAACATATCTATTTTACTGGATAATAAATTGCCAATCAACTCGGGGTTGACGAGGATCCTGTCCACCATTTGGTCTGTGGGTCAATAATTTTACAAGGATAACAACTTTGGTTTCAGACCTATGTGAAGATGACTGAGAATAGAACACATGACCAAGATACAAAACACATCAGATTTCATTAACTGAAATAAGACTTTACCTTTCGCAGGATCTTGATAAACTACATCTGATATTTCAAAGAGTTTTAATGGTAATGGCATATTCTGATTATTATAAACTGTTTTTAATACACCTGGTAATAGAGTTGTTCTCGCTACCTGAAATAGTCATAACAGATAGAAGCATCACAGAAAATGATAGAAATTTATAGCTTGATTTATTTTTAATGGATATATCTTTATCTTTGTAAAATGTAGAAGATGTTGTCATTTCATTGAGAAAATAAACTGGTGTCTTAAGACCCTACAAGCTTCAAGTTTGAAATCCATAAAAACAGTCCTGCCAAATTTGCCTCATGGAAATATGAAGGATCTGGAAATAGAGACAGGACCAATACAAGTATATCAAGTTGTATGAAAAATGTTTCTGTGTCTAATCTACCTGAAATTCCAATGTTTTTGGGTTGGCTATATGAACAGCTCCTGTATCTTCTATCTTCTTACCAAGTTTACTAGCTATATCATCTCGTGAACACTGGAATATAAAGATTTGTAGAACTTCATTTAAAGAAGCCTAGAGAGAATTGTGAGAAAACACAAACAGTAAAACTTTTAATTTGAATATTGTGAAAGAAAATTATTGCTGAAGTAAGAAAAAGTGAATGTAGAAAATTACAGATATTCTATCAGTTCTAATCAGTACTACTTATTATCAACTGGTTGTTATATTCAAAACCTCATTATAAATACAGTCAGGACATAAACTAAACTTACCAGAGCGAATGTAAGAGCTTCAGTAAAACCAGCACCGGCTATTTCTTGTCGTAATAAATCTGTTAATTTATTTAACGGGAACTGAAACAGATAAATCTCTAGTGTTATTGTATATTAACATGTTAAATATCTCTACACTGCTAGTAAAATATTAAACATCTCTACACTAGACAGATAAATCTCTAGTGTTATTGTATATTAACATGTTAAATATCTCTACACTGCTAGTAAAATATTAAACATCTCTACACTGCTAGTAAAATATTAAACATCTCTACACTGCTAGTAAAATATTAAACATCTCTACACTAAACAGATAAATCTCTAGTGTTATTGTATATCAACATGTTAAATATCTCTACACTGCTAGTAAAATATTAAACATCTCTACACTGCTAGTAAAATATTAAACATCTCTACACTAAACAGATAAATCTCCAGTGTTATTGTATATTAACATGTTAAATATCTCTACACTGCTAGTAAAATATTAAACATCTCTACACTGCTAGTAAAATATTAAACATCTCTACACTAAACAGATAAATCTCTAGTGTTATTGTATATTAACATGTTAAATATCTCTACACTGCTAGTAAAATATTAAACATCTCTACACTGCTAGTAAAATATTAAACATCTCTACACTAAACAGATAAATCTCTAGTGTTATTGTATATTAACATGTTAAATATCTCTACACTGCTGGTAAAATATTATAAATGATATATAAGACTAAAATACTATTAGACCTACCTGATTAGCTATACAGTTAGTATCAGGAATAGTTTTAATTATATTATTAAAACCGTAACCAATAGCAACATCTTCCATAATATCACATGGATGTAATATATCTACATTTCGTTAAGGATAAAGACAGAACACTTAATTTTTACAAAACATATTCCAATTTATTTTTCTTTTTATTCTTGTACAACTTTTCATGATTTTAATGATCCTAATGTATGTTATTTTTTAATATCAATTGAAAATTGTGAATTCTGA